GTCGCCCCGGGGGAGGAGGGGGGAGCAGGCGGGAGCCGCGGTGTGCCCGGCTTCGAGGCGGCCGCCTGTGCTCGGAAGGGACGGGGCGGCCGAAGTGTTGCTGCTGATTCGCTTTGCATCTGATGCGCCCGAAGAGCTGGACGTGCCCTAAGGGAAGGCACATGCCTGGCCGCCCGCCTGCACCTCCCGTCTCCCCGGCGACGTGCAGGGGAAAGATCTTCATCAGGGCACGGCGTTAACTTCCATCTCCTGCTTACTGATCTTACAACCCCGCAGCGTTCTGCTTTTTCACATGATGTCTCTCACTCTCGGTTTGAACAGCCTGTAACCTTTCGTACAGCTATCTCGGCATCTTTCAAAAAAATCCGTTAAAACTCTCCGGGTTCTTTTGTTTCTTTGTTTTATTCTTGGGCAGCTCTTGACAGTATCAGTGCTGTGTTGCGGTCATCCTCTATCGTGGTGACCAGCATTGCCTAGTTGTTACATGCCTTCAGCTGTTTGTATCATGGTAATGCTGTGTCTTTTTGGTGAGTTTAGTTTTGCAATCTCTGGAAAGTAAAACTTTTGCAATCTGGGAACATCTTTTTGTTACGTGTTTGTAGGCTAAAAGTAGCAAAGTACTGCCCTGAGTCATGACTATTGTGACCATACAGTTGACATAGGTATGTGAGATACTGATGTAAGATGACTTCCCAATGTAATTTTCAGCCTTATTTTCTGTTACTCTGTGAGTATTTTGGCGAAATTCTAACCCAGCTTTGTTTTGCAAGTCCTGTTTGTGAAAAGTGAGAAGTACTTTGGATGCAAATGAGTTCAGTATTCTTTGATTTCACCTTCTGGAAATGGGTGACAGCGTAGCAAAGGGCTGGAGATGATCTCAGTCTTCTGGCAAATTCAATTAGCCTTTCAAAGATGTCATCAGCATCCTCCCACGTTACTCCTAGAGGTGGATTGGTATCGGTTTGTCTACCTAGCTGTTTGCTGGAAAACATAACTGAAGTACTTGCCCTAAAGTAACAGTGTGAGGTAAGCCTGCATTCCAGTTTAATATGTTGGTGTCACACCCCTCAAGTTTTGGTAAGCCTTTGGTGTCTTTAACTCGGAATCTTGTCAGGAACAAATCCGTCTAATGTAGCGGCAGTAATGTGGGGAACCTCTAACACGTATGTATATTCATACTAGCTTCGAGATTCGTTGGGGGTCTTTTTAGAAAAGGGTTAATCTTGATTATTTTTGTCTCTGAACAAGCAATGAGATTCATTACCTGCTCTACGTTTAAAGTCCAGTAACATCATCTCTGCTTTTCAGGATGATGCATCTAAGACCACTTTCTTAATCATTAGTGTTTACTTATTAGCATAAAACTCAGGAGTTACTGCAGTAATGTGACAGAACTGTTTTTGTAGAACTGTTTAGGTGGGTTTTTTTGTCACCATGCTTGAACGTTTGTCTCAACAAAAAGCTTTTTCAGCAGTTGAATGTTATAGTTTATGCAGTGGCACGGCAGCTGCCTGTGCAAATGGATAGTCTAATCAGAGTGGGAGGACCCAGGTTTGTGTTTTTCTGTGGATCCGAAAACACTTATAGAACTAAATAATTTAGGAAGAGTAAATGCAGCTGATGAAAAATTTAAATGAAGTTCACCTAGAAAGTAATGCTTCGTACAGACTGAGTTTTCTGACAAATAATGATTCAAACATTAGGCCTCTTGAATAATCCTGTGTATGAATAACTGTTTGACTCATATGCACGTAGTTCAATATTGCTTAGGCTAAATATGGCCTTTCCTTAGCTAGATGGTCAAATACCGCAATTCGCATATCTTAGGCATTTAAAAAGGAAAAATTCCTGAAAGATGCAACAGTTAGCTATCTCAACAGCCAAGGAAATGAGCAAAAAAGTATGATTCCACAGAAAATCTGTGGTTCAGTACTTTTTTTTGTGAATTTGAAAGCTGAAGGTGTTTAGTAATCACACTTCTAAGAAACAACACTGGCGTATTCTAATACCAAGGAGAAGTAAAGCCCAAGATGCTCATAAGCATTTATTTTTTTCAATAGAGTCTATTTTAATCAATTATCTGCCTTCTGAAAGGACTAGAAGTGTCTTTATTTCAGAAAATGAAAATTCAGAGGTTTTGTCTCTAGTATATCATGTTTTCTTGATGTATCAAGTGTCTTAAGTGTGGCTTGTAGAGTTGCTTTTATCTAGGCTTTATTGTGTTGTTTGTATCTGATTACCAAATGAAACTCAATGCTGATCCTAGAAAAATATGCTCTTCCTTTAAAGACCAAAAATGTTTAACAATAAGAGTGTTTTAAACGGTATTTTTGACATATCTGTGTTCTGCCGCTGAACCCCCTTTTTTTATTAATTCACACAAAAGTTCAACCTAGAGTTTCTTAAGAAAATTTCTTATCAGTGTAAATGCAGCATTAGACCAATGAGATTTTTACTTCCTTTGTTGACAGCTGTAATGCTATTAAGGATAAAATTAAGAAAACTACAAAAGGTGGTAGAATAGTCTCCAAGGTTCTTTTGGCTTATGCTCTTTGCCACTGACACTTGGGTTTTTTGCCTTCATTCCTTGTTTTCTCAACAGGGCCGCGTTTTCATTTCCTCTGAATCATACTCAGGCGTACATCTGTAACTCTGACATCACGCTTTTTGTAAGGTAATAACATGCTATAGACCTTTAATGTCACTGTAAGCCTGATAAGGTATCCTTGTCTTGACATTAAATTGTGCATCTGAGTCATTAAGAGGAAGCAGAGGTCTGCATCTCAGGTGGTTTGAGGGCGTAGATTGGGATCACGGTCTCACAGGCCATAGGGAGTAGAGAGAAGGTAACTGAGA